GTGACCTGGAGCAGCCGCTGGCACAGGCTGGACAACCCAACAGACTCATCTGAAACACACTGGGCCATTTTTTGTTGAGACAGATGGACAAATACCAGGGACTGCAATGGCACAAAGCAGCCAGAGTTGGCCCTGGCTCGGATGTGAACCTGCATGGGGAAAAGCAGGACCACTGCTATCAAAACAGAGAAGTAATACAAATGTACAAGTTACAGTCATTTTCTGAGTAAAGCCTTTTTCTGTAACTTTACAGAGTAGTGCTGCACACACTTGGGACACCCAGTCCTGGGAGGAAAGGTAGGCAGGGGCACAGGGAGAGGAGGGGGTAGCCAGGACTGTGGGGTGAGGGGGTTCTGTCTCTGTCGTCATGAGGAAGTTCAGTGCAGGCTGGCAGGCACTGTCATGACAGCTCAACACAGAGATGCAGGGATGGGTGTCCATGCAGGAGGTGACTGACATTTGCTGGTGCAGAGGAGCTCTTAGTGCCAGGAAAATGTTGGCATGGTGATCCAGGGGATCCACTCATTGCCCTGGGTGGCTGAAGTGTCAGTACATCCCCATCCTAAACATTCATCCCTCAAAAACCTGGCATCTTGCAGCAGAGAAACATCCTGTCAGGAAACATCTGCTCCACACACCTGGAGGAGAATTGGTGGCTGATGTGCAGAGGAGTCCCTGCAGTCCCTGTGCCCCGATGGGGACAGGGAAGTGTTGCACACCACAGCAGCTCTGCAGCAATGAGTTTAGAGGTCTGTCCTTCGTCTCGAGTTCCTTGGAGGAACCCCTCTGGGTTAAGGTGCAGAAAATAGATGTTTAAAAAGCACTGCAGGAGAGGGGGAAAGCTCTCTCCTTTTTCCTGAGAGAAGCAGCTGTAACCCAGAGGGGCATCTCCTCACTTGCACACTGTGCAATGCGGCGAGCGGGTGACTCAAAGCCGCTTCCCCTTTTCCTGCTCACGGTCCCCCCGGTGAGTCCTTTGGTAACAAACAAAGCACATTTCGGTTCCTCCGACAGCCCTCTCTGACGTTCCTGAAACCCAGTGACTCATCTGTAAACAAGCTGAGGGCAGAAACAAATGAAACCTCCCATCAGAGCACAAAGCAGGACCTTGGTGCGAGCTGCCCCAGCAGCCCCGCTCCCGCTCTGCTGACCCGCGCCACACCATCCACACACCCCACACCCGAGCAGGCATCCCACACCCCACAATGAACCCCACACCCCTGCCAGGGACCCCACACTCCCGGCACAGACCCCACACCCCGACACACACCCCACACCCCCACAGTGAACCCCACACCCCGGCACGCCCCCCTGCCTCCCCGCCCGCCTGCCCCTCGCCGGCCCGGCTCAGAGCTGCCCGGAGCCGAGCCGGAGGCAGAGCTGAGCACGAGTCAGACCCCGCGGGGATCACAAGGATGCCCTGCCCCGGCCTCCTCCCCAGCACGGCGCTCGCTCTGGGTCGGGGCCCGAGCGGTGGCACATCTCCCGCTAGACCAGCTCGATCCAAGCCCGGTCCAAACTGACCTTGAATGCTTCCAGGGGTGGAACACCCATTCCTCCAAGGCTTCAGTACCTGCAGGGTTTTTGCCCACACTCACCTTACCAGGGCAGAAGGAAGGAGAGAGGAGCCATCCTCTGCAGGACACAAACCCTCAGGGACCCGGGAGCTGGCTCCTCTCCTGTGCTACCAGCTGTGCACCAATGGCTCCTGGGGAGTCGGTTTACCTACCAAGGTAACGAGGAATTATCCCAAACCCTCCACCGAGCCATTTCTCATGAACACCTCTCCCCAGGTGACAGCACGTCGTGCTCTGTTGCCACCGAGCCGGGATGCAGCGGCCAGGGCACAGCACCCACCTGGCTCACAGGGGCAGCTCCTCCTCCACCCAGATGTGCTGGAGAAGGGTGTTTCTGGGAAACAGGAATTTCCCAGGCTGCTGGAAACGCAGCAGTGCTCTCCCGTGCGACAGACGCCCACCCGGCGCGGCGGTGGCCAGGGGATGGCAGCCGATGTTCACCGATGAGCCACCGGCTGCTGCCGTTCCATCGGGATCCGCTCCAGAGCCCCGACTGCCTGGCCACAACCAAACCCGCACAGGCGGCACCGTGGTAATGCCACCTTCCTGGAGATGTGCAGGGACCAAAGAGCAAGAATTCACAAGTAATTGCTATAATACAATGGTCTTTTTAAGGAAAAAAAATAAAAGCCCACAGTTTCTTTCAAAAGCCACAAAAGTTTCTTGGGTCACAGCGTGGCAGATTTCATTTTGACATGCCTGAAATTCAAATAAAACCTGATTTAAACCCCCAGATTGCAGCTATGTCAGGGGGATTTTCAAGCACACAGACTAGCACTGAGGTGCTCAGGGTGAGCAGGTCCCACTCAGGTTTACACCAACAGCTGGAAGAACAAAATGCAGGGAGTGTTGCATGACAGGGAGCTCAGTCAGAGCTCACACAGGCGTGGGTGCAGAGCCCTGAGGGAAGGTCCCTATGGGTACAAACCACCAGCCCTTCTCTGGGAAGGCTGCTCAGTGTGGGAGAGCAGGGGCCGTGTCCCAGGCAGGGAGGGAGGAGGGCACAGGGAGTGCTCCAGCTCAGCACCAGGGCCTGCAGCTGTTCCCACCTCAGCCAGAACAAGCACAGCTGGCAGCAGGAGCTGGATGTTCGTGTGTCACCATGTCCAGCAAACACCAGGATGAGCAGGTGCCAGCAGGGGCAGAGCTCTTGCCCCAGCACTGCCCACCAGCACAGCAGCCTGGGAGGGGTGTTGGATGCCCCTCCAGGCAGGACTTACTGCTCATTTTGCACACATCAGCCAGGAACAGTGATGGGAAGTCGAGGAAGCAGTGGCTGGCAGAAACATGCCCATTTCCAATCCCTGCAGAACCTTGGGAGCCCTGGGAAGCGTCCTCCAGCCCAGCACAGCCAGGAAAGGGGCTGGAGGCACATGCTGGCAGAGGAGCTTTGGTTCAGTTTGAAACCTCCAACATCTATAAGTTACCTGGAACAGGCTCAACCCTTCTGCCCTCACAGAAACAATTTTACACTTCACAGGGACGCCAGGGCAGAGTACACTGAATTTATTAAAATAGCCACGTCTTCCCCAAAGTATGTGGGGTGAAAAATTCGCATACAAAATACAACAGCTAAACCATTATTTACATCCAGGCAGCTGCAATATCAAGCAATAACTTTAGCAATAGTTTTAAAAATAACTCTGCAGTGTACACAGATCACGTATTTCACAAGACGAGGGTTGAGCACTGCACCACTCTACTTATTTCAGAAATATTACAATGTTCCAGATAAAATATTAATGCTTCTTTTAAAAACAGACAACTCAGGAAGTGGTTTGCAGATTGACAAAATATGACACATTTCTCTTTAGGAACTGAGAACAGCAGCAGGTTTAGACACAAACGTCACAACTACATTCAAAATACATCTAGTCCATTCATCCAAAAATACATTCAGTGTAAGCTACAACTTATTGCACATTTCTTATATTCTGCAGAAATATATTTACCTCAGTCTTACTCCCTGTACATTCATAAATTGTTCTGCCCGTTAGAGCAGAACTTGGATGTCTGTCCCTAAAAGCTTTCGGGGGACTGGGGTACCACAGCCCGTGGGGATGCTCCCTGCAACCACAGACACACAGCTCAGGGCAGGGGACTGGCTCTCGGTGCTGCTGGGGGGGGCTCCCCAGGGACACCTCAAGGACAGCCCCAGGACAGCCTCACAGACCCCCATGGGACCACGGCAGGGGGGTTTGGGCCATCACCTTCAGGAACACAGAAATGAGCTTGTTCCTCTGTGCCTGTGAACCCTCCAGCCCCCAGGACCCCCCTGCTGGGGACAGCCCCCAGGACCCCCCTGCTGGGGACAGCCCCCAGGACACCCCTGCTGGGGACAGCCCCCAGGACACCAGTGGCACAGGAGCTCTGGGCAGACAGGGATTGAGAGAAGAACGTGGCCTGCTCAAAGTTCAGACCTGTTGTAGGGACTGGACATATTTCTAAATAAATTTATCTATAACTCCTGAATTTATTACCAAGAAAAGAAGTGACATAGCAATGACTAAAATATTGTAGGGTTCATTATAGGGTTACACGAGGGAACGACCTTGATTAAGTGCAAATAATAAAAGTACCAAAGTGCAGAGGAGATTACAGCCTGAATTTCTCGAGGGGTGTCTGGGGGCAGCAGTTCAGGAAACACAAAAAATTCGGTGCTCAAGGAAACATTAATTAACTTTCCCTTTCAGTCCATAATCCCTGCATTAAGCTTTAGGTTCTTATTAGAAGCAAACTATAAAATATTAGTAACTCCTTCCGACTAGAAGCATCAATTAAGAGAGGCTGAATGTGGTGATGGGGTTTGAGCATCCTTGACCTTGAAAATTTTTATGAGTTTAAGAACTTGTTCTTAAAGTGAAGATTAGCAGGAACATTGTAACCTCTGAGGAAACCTAAGCCTCCCTAAACCACACAGAACTGTCTTGGCATAACCTCTGTACTTAAATTGGAACTGGACAGATCCACATGGAGGGGAAAGGCCACTAAAACAATGGTTCTTTGGGGTTTTTTTTAAAGAGTGTAGAGTTTGCAAACATTTCAGAGCTCAATACAACATCATCAGCCCTTGGTTCGGTTATGTTTTAACTCTGGATCACCAAAATACACATTCACCTCTCAACAACAAAAGAAAAAAGAAAAGCAGTGCAAAAATACTGAGTTAGGTGAAACACCAGGACAAACAGACCATAATGTCTGATACCACAAGGTATGTGCAGGGAAAGGGTTAAAGTATTCCTGGGGCTGGAGCTGTGACCTGTGCAAGGGAGTTGAGCCTGAGAATCCTCCACCCACACCTCCCAGCCAGGCCCAAAAGGGTCTTGTTCAAATTATAGGGCTGAACAACAACCTTCAGAGACTCCAGAATGGTAACTGAAAACTGAAACCCTTCTCCCACTTAAAAAAGTTCCTTTTTAAGATAAGGAATTTTTTTCAACTTATGTACTACAAGAACAAATGCTGTATTTTAGGTTTGCAAATATTTTGATACCCAAGTCAGCATCATGCTTTGGATCGTGCTAAAATTACTCCTCTAACAGCCTAGAAAGTCACATCCACTGAGCTCTGCGGGGTAGTTCATGTAGTTGAAGCACATGAGAATTAAATCACAGGGCGGCTTGGGTCGGAAGGGACCTTAAAGCCCATCTCGTTCCCTTCCCTGCCATGAGCAGGGACACCTTCCACCAGACCAGGTTGCTCCAAGCCCCGTCCAGTCTGGCCCAAATCTCTGAGACACCTTTGATTATATCTCAGAAACCACACTGGAGAAAAATCTACCAGCAATTTAAGGGAAATATTCTCCACTGCTCAGCTCCAGACCCCAGAAAGACCCACATTATTTAACACAAGGACCTGTGCAAACAGGTAAATTGCATCAGAGCCTATTTACGGGCAATTAACAGCCATAAAGGATCCACAGCCTCCTGGAGATGTGTGTCAGGAAGAAACCCAGAGTGCTGATACTGCAGACCACCCCACTCAGTAAAACAGTTTAACCTGTTTTTCCCTGCAACAGTTCCAATTAAAGAGATTTTACCCCAAAGATTGATCTGACACACTGTGATCAGCCAACAGCTCTCTGCAATGGAGCTGCGTGGGCCACACAAGATTTTTTCAGAGCTCTGCTATTCTGGAAACATCTTTGGGCTTAATTTCCATGGACCAACTGAATTTAAGGATTTAAAGAACCATATGATTATGAAATGTATAATTTTGGCTATTAAAAATATTAGAATACTATATTTAAATACATGGGCCATGGAGTGGGGCAGAAGCATCAGTTCACAAAATGCCAGAACATCAGTTAATTCTGATACAACACCTCACTTTGATGGCTGTGGTGTGATCAGAGATGATAACACTCATCACCAGCCTGGTGCTGTTACAGAATTCCATAAGAAACCTCTGAAAAGGCTGTATTGGCTTTTGTCAAAGCTTCCCCCAACACATCAAAAGGCACTAAAAAAATGTTACCAGTGATTAGCAAGATATTGTTAAAAATAAATATTTTCTCAGTTTAGGTAGAATTTCTCCCACTTTATCCCTATGTAACTAACGGAAAAGTATTGCCTCTATTATTTTTTCTACAAACTGTTAGAAAGAAAAGTTATCCCTTGGTCGATCTGTTCAATGAACAAATAGAGTAAAACAACTCAAATCCTAACCATAATATTGTACGTGAAACCGAGACAATAAATATAAATGTTAATAGAGAACTGACTCAATGGTTTTGTTCACAAGGTACATGCTTAGTGGAATTTCCATCTTTTTTAATTGCTTTTACTGATAGCCCCTTTTCAGATTCTTGCATAAAAATAGGTTAAAAGCCGGGTTAAATTTGGTCTTTTACTTGGTTTGAGGACAGAACATGAGGGTTTTTTTGCAAACAGCTTTAACACCAGACATTTCCAGGGCATTTGGGGTCTGACGAGGATGAAAAGTGCAAGAGCAAAAGGTATTTTTACACTGTTGTGATGCTTTAACCTCCTTCCTGTGACTCGCCTGGTGTCCAGTTTACTCACAAAACCAGAGTGAGTCATGGACTCGCTGCATCAAACCCGAGCTCGAGTGCCAAGCTGCCTCTTCCCACGGCCGAACACGACGCTCGAGGCCAGCGCTCTGCTCCGGGCACTGCAATACTGAACCACGTTATCTGAGGTAGACCAGAAATAAAAATACTATCACACGTGGAAAGGTGAACGGCAGAATTCCTTCCCGTCTCCTGGCGCGGGGAGGCCGGTCAGGCTTTGGAGTCCTCCTGCAGGCAGAGCTGCGAGACGGTCTTCTTGACGCGCAGCGCGGTGAGACGGGCGGCGCCGCTGCCGTGCCAGCACTCCCGCATCACCCGGCCCATCACCCGCAGCGCCTGCACACAGACACACAGCCCACGGGGATCAGCCGCTCCAGCTCCTCGCCCTGCACAGGCCCAGCCCCAGAGTCACCCCCTGTGCCCCAGAGCATCAGCCAAACCCTCCTGGAGCTCTGGCAGCCTTGGTGCTGTGCCCACTGCCCTGGGGAGCCTGGGCAGTGCCCAACCACCCTCTGGGGGGGAAGAGCCTTTTCCTGGGATCCAACCTGACCCTACCCTGACACAGCTCCAGCCCTTCCCTGGGTGCAGTCCCTGCTCACAGAGCAGAGCTCAGTGCCTGCCCCTCCTCTGCCCCTCCCGATGAAGCTGTAGACATGGGAGCAAACAACAGGTCAGGAGTACAACCAGCACCTCCTGCTCTTTGTTTCACAAGTGCAATACAGGAAAATAAAGTGCAGCTCTCTGAAACGGTGACACAACAGCAGCAGCGTTAGTTAAGATCCACGTTTAAGAGAGTTGAACACTTGGTGCAAAGAGCTGACCTGAGAGCTGAAGGAGAGCTACACATCTGAAACATCTAAATTCAGGAGAGGCTGGGCACCCTGTCTCTCACTCAAAAATTCTGCTTTAATTTAAATTTGAAAATATAAATAATAAAATAAAACTAGAAAAAATAAACTAGAAACTAAATTAAACTACTAATAATAAATAAACTAAATTAAACCAAATAAACTAAAATAAACCACAGAACTGGTTTTACCTCACAGCTTTGCCACTGGTTTGGAATATTCGGTCTGAGTTTCTGCTCACAGACAACCCTTCTCATGTCTTCTATTGAAGGATCAGAAGGCACAACATCGTAGTAAGGCAACTGGTATTCCTCAGTGATTCCTAGGGAACATTTATTGCAAAGGTAACACAAAATACAAAGTACCTGCTCCACAACAAACTCTAATTGTTTCTACAAGCAATGAGAGAGAACAGAGGAACTTTCAGGGCCACCTTGCACAGGGGCTCCATGAGATCTTCTGTCCCCACTTAGTGCCACAGTAACTGGAGTGCTTTGGTTTTACTGAAGATAAAAGTGGTGCAGATCACAAAATGAGCTACAGCCAGCACTGGGGTCCCCTGAACAGAAGGAACGTGGAGCTGCTGGAGAGAGTCCAGAGGAGGCCATGGAGCTGCTCCAGGGCCGGAGCCCCTCTGCTCTGGAGTCAGGCTGGGAGAGCTGGGGGGTTCTCCTGGAGAAGAGAAGGCTCCAGGGAGAGCTGAGAGCCCCTTGCAGGGCCTAAAGGGGCTCCAGGAGAGCTGGAGAGGAACTGGGGACAAGGTATGGAGGGACAGGACAAGGAAGAATGTGTTCAAACTGGTTTAGATGGGATATTGGGAAGGAATTCTTGGCTGTGAGGGTGGGGAGGCCCTGGCACAGGTTGTCCAGAGAAGCTGTGGCTGCCCCTGAATCCCTGGAAGTGTCCCAGGCCAGGTTGGACGGGGCTTGGAGCAACCATGCTAGTAGAAGGTGTCCCTGCCCAAGGCAGGGGGTGGAATGAGATGGGCTTTAAGGTCCCTTCCAACCCAAACCAAAAAGGATTCTGTGATGGTATGAAAAGGCATCTCACCTCCAACGCAGCACCTCCGGGCTATCTCCCAGTACACCAGCCCCAGGGAGTAAATGTCTGCACGTTTGAAGGACTCGAAGATGTTCGTGTTCATTGTGTCGTCCAGGATCTCAGGAGCCATGTACCTTTGGAGCACACAGGGGCAGTTTAGCTCCTACAGAAGGCCACGGTTGCCCTGTCATGTGCCAGGGCCAGGTGACCCTTCATGGCACTGGAGCCATGCCCTGACTGGGCCCAGAGCATGTGGAGTGACCAACACACGATGTCCGTGCCAGAGCCACATCCCACGTGGGACAGGGAGCTCCATTCCATGGGAATGGCAACCACCTTCCCCTCCCACCCAGCTGGGGTGGAGGGACAGGGTCTGCAGGACCCCCGGCCGATGGCAAGAGTGGAGGGGGCATCAGTGATGGAGAGGAGGGCTGGGAGGAGCCATCCCCATGGAGTGAGCCCGTCTGGTGGCCGGCAGTGCCTGACCCACCTCCTGGTGCCCACGCGGGGGTTCTGGGGGATGTCGATGGTGTTGAGCACCGAGTCGTGCTTCACCGCCAGGCCCAGGTCAGCAATGGCACAGGTCTCGTTCCTCTTCACCAGGATGTTCTTGGACTTCAGATCTCGGTGTGCGATCGCTGGCTTCCCTGTTCACAGTGAGAGAAACCACCTCCAATTTTGATAAGAACAGTGTGGATTTTAATATGATGAGCAAGGATGTAAAACCAGTTTTATTCAATTTTGTTACTACCCCCTACAGAAACACTGAAGCCTATTTTGAGCAAGCAAAGCTCTGCTAAATGCTGTCAACTTCAAAAGAGGACTTTGATGGCATTTTTGTTTCAATATCTGTATTTCAAGAATAAAATGCAAGAAAAGAAACTAGAAGTTCAGCCTTCAAATTAATTTAGAAAATTACAGAATCATGGAATGGCTCGGCTTGGAAAAACCCTCCAAGATGATTGAGGCCAACTGTTCCCATGGCACTGCCAAAGCCACCACTAACCCATGTCCCCAAGTGCCACATCTACACAGCTTTAAATCCCTCCAGGGATGGTGACCCCACCACTGCCCCAGGTAGCTGTGCCAGAGCTGGACAGCCCTTTTGGGGAAGAGGTTTTTCCTAATTTTTCCTTCATTAGCACTCATTTGTCTTTAGCACAGCTGCTCCCACAGCTATCCACTTAAAGCCACGGATGAAGTGCAGACAGTAGAAGTGGGAAGGTGACATCCCTGTTCCCCTGCAGCACTCACACACTGTTTGGTGTTAACAGTTTGGAAAACGCTTCACGATTCCGCGTCACCCATAAATGTTCTTGCAAACAACACTGCAGCACCTTACAATGCTCGAAGGACAAACGGGAGGGAAGCACTTGCCTTGCGTGCCGACGATCTCCATGTGGAGGTGGGCCAGGCCACTGGCCACGGACAGTGCCAGCCTGACCATGCCCTCCACCGTCACCGTGCCTCTGTTCAGGTAGTCGAACAGGGAGCCCTGCTCGTGGTACTCGGAGACAAGCCAGAGCTGAGTCCACGTCCCGTTATCTACCCGGAGGAAGCAAGGTTATTAAAAACACTGTCTGGGGAAAGCCTTCCCGTTTTGAGGAATGCAAACAAGCAGGTGTGCCAGCCATCCCACCGGGAGGGAGCTCAGGACAGCGCACGATTCGAGGTGGTGCTCCAGATGGGGGGGCAGCGAAAGCTATTCTGAGACAGACACTCGGGATTTAGCATCAGTTGGGCTGGAAAGGTCTTTAGGGTCGTTGAGTCCAACCACTAACCCAGCACTGCCAGGGCCACCACAGGGAACCCCAGAATTATGAGGGTTGGAAAAGCCCTGCAAGAGGACGGAGCCCCCGCTGCCGCGCCCGCCCCGTACCCTTGTTGTCGGCAGCGATGAAGCCCAGGATGTTCTCGTGCCTCAGCATGACCGTCTGGTAAATCTCTGCCTCCCGAAACCAGGACCGCTCGTCTCTGGAGGAGAAGATTTTCACAGCCACATCCTCCCCGCACCACTTCCCACGCCAGACTTCACCAAAACGGCCTTTTCCTACGATCTCCTGCAGGACAATCGTCCTGGCGATGGTTCTCTGGACGAGCAGGGGCAAACCTAGTTCAAAGGAGAGACAGGTACTTGGGAACCAGCTCAGCTGTGATCTTCAAATCCCAACGCTGCCCTTTCCCAGTGAGCTGCACTCATGGCTTTGTTTTCCAAGACTGCCAGGGGAAAATCCTCTCCCCACTAATATCTCCCCAAATCAGCCTTTTGGATGTTACTTTTCAGTGTCCATATATTTAAAAAACATTAAAAAGTCCCAATAAAAATTAAAAAATAGGTCTGAACTATTCCACTTGGTTTGATAGGAATTGCAGCTGTCCTACAGTCAATTAGCTGCTTCCCTCTGACTGATATTTTCAAAAATAAAGATAAATTATCATAGCAGCTCCACTGTCCTTTGCCAGCCATAATCTCTACCTTGTTTGGTTTGATTCTGTGTTTTCTGGGGACTTAAAATAATTATTAATTTTTACTTTTTTTTTAAATCAAGGTGGCCTTGATTTTGGCTGAAATCAGATCAAATTGCACCACTGCTCGGGGCTGTGGATCAGCACAAGTCCAGCCCTGTTCCTGGGTCAGGGATGGCTGGGAAGAGTTAAAACTTTAGGGTAAATAAAGCCAAAGTCTGCTCATTATAGCTGTGAAAAAGTGTTAGGGAAGAGCAACAACTTAATCCTCAGAGGTATGCAGCTCATGGAAATAAAGTCAACTGAATTAGGCACCATTCCTACATTTTTCATTTATAAATAAAAGCAAGCACAATCTACATACTTTTCAATAAAAGCTGTAGTCAGGGAAAGTTGGGCTGTGCACCCCAGATGTGCCACTGGCCAGATGAGCTGGAATATATTAATTCCACCTCATTTTTGTTTTTCTTTGGTTTAAAAACTTCTCCATTGCAATGGAGGCATCACAGTAGACTGGATATCAGAAACAGGAAAAATGTTAGAAAGGTGGACATTCTGCTCAGAAAAAGAATTTTGGGTAAAGTTATTTTGCAATAAAACATTAACAATTTCAAAAGCAGCATCCTGACTCAGGTGAGTTTAGTAGCTTTCCTTATCAGCCAGCAGCACTGGGTTTCACACTTGAATCTGATTTCTGAGCTCTCTCTTTTAACTCTTCCATTCCAACAAAGAGCAGAACTTTTGCAGTTTGACAGAAGAGGAGCACAAGAAGCCCTGTCACTGCTGTCAGGGGTGACCACGTGCATCTGCCCAAAGCCCCTCAGCGTGCAGGGCACCCCACGTACCAGAGCCAGAGCCGGAGGTGGTCATGTCATAGATGAGATCCCTCAGCGTCTTCCCGGAGCTCACCAGGTTGCCCTCGGACAGGGGCTCCTCCACGTTGGGCGGTTTGTGGCCACGGCGGGCGCGGCGCCGGCGTCCCCGGGAGGTGCACACGGCCAGCACTGCCACCAGCACCAGCACACACACCGGCACTGCCACCGTCACCGCCAGCACCACGGGCCTGGGGCCGGCCCTGCCCGGGGACTCCGACGCTGTTGGGAACACAAGAGCGGGGTTGGAGCAACACGTCAGGGAGGGGCTGCGGGGGGACGGCGTGGCAGGGTCAGAGATGGCCTGCAGTTGTCCTGGCCATGAGACAGATCCCATTCCTGTAAGACATGGAGTCTTTCCCCACACATTTTTGTGCAGGAAGCTTGGCCTCTTGATCACCACCCAACACCACCGCCTCAGATCATCCCATCCCATCCCATCCCACTCAGGGAACAGCAGAGGACACTCAGCAGCACACAGCTGGCCCATGGGCTCAGTGCCCCAGACTGGAGCAGTGGTGGTCCCTGCTGCCAGCACAGTGACCAGCATTCCCACTGGAAAACACATGCCCTGCCAGCCTGGCCATCAGCTCCAGTGGGAATGGTGGGTGCCAGATGCCAAACACCAGCAGTGTTGGGGGAACATCCTACAGCTGCAGCCCCTGTTCTTCCTCCTGCTCCTGCTGGGAGCCTTGGCCACAGCCCATGTCACCTTCGGCTGGAGAGTCCTCCCACCTCCTCAGCATGGGCTCTGCAGCAGCCCCTTCTCACAGCGTGTGGTCACCGCTCTCCTGCACCCCTCCCAGTCCTTCCAGCTCCTTCCTTCCCTTCCCTCCTTTCTGCAGCTCCCTCCACTCCAGAGCAGCACTCTTTCTAGAAGAAATATCTCAAAAACCAGCACTGTGATTCCTGTATTATAGTCAGGGCCATCTTCAACACTGACCCCGTGCACCAAATGGTCCGTGGCCAGGACCAGCACTGCACACACCCCTCAGGGATCGAGGGGCTCCCCACAGCTCAAACCACACAAAGGGGAGTGACAAACACCATAAATACAACACACACCCCATGCCCAGGGTGCCCTTAAAGGCCTCACCAGAGTGCTGACATCCACAGCAGTTGGGCAAGGTCATACTCTTGGGGAAATCAGACAATCCCTCAGGACCACCCAAAGCCAGCAAAACAACACCATTAATCCCATTTTGCAATCCTATTCTGAGTGTACTGTTCATTGACTGACTAACCAAGAATAGAAGCTGACACACGTTTCCATGTGTGAACCAAAGGCAGCACATCTGGCAGCACTCAGCACTTTCACAACATGGAGTAGTTATGGTCCAAGTTGTGTAAATAAAATAGTACTTATAGGTAGCAAAAAAAAAAAAAAAAAAAAGGAAGGATTTTTTTTCCTCTCCAATGGAAAAGACATTCTCACACACAGCCATTTACTTTTGACTCATAATGAGCACTTTAAGGTTTCCAAAAGCTCTGAACTCTGTGTGTGCAAGTTTCTAGGCTACTCAGGGAGGCAGATTACATGTTCTTTCCAAGGCAGTAAGAAAATCTATTGCATTAATAGGGGTCTCTAGTCAGCTCTGCAGAATACTTTTAAACCATTTCAAAAACACACAATTTGGGCTGGAGCCTAAAATTAAGTTTCTCCAGCTTCCACCATGACTACAGACCCCACTCACAGGGGAGTGGGGGCAGAGATCACAAGCTCTGTCTCACAGATCTTAAATACGGCCCAAAAATCCTGTGAGACACAAGTCTACAACTCAAAGAGCCTTCTGGATCTGACCCACAGCTGCTCAAAGCATCCTGTTCCACGCTGAGGGTACGAGGCGAGCTCTGCAGAGAAAACGAGAGTGAAGGATGTGCAGGGCATGGTTTATCAAAGGGAGGTCCCTCAAGGCAGCAGCACACAGAGCGTTTTCTCAGCCCTGCTGTGGCATCCCACTGACAGGGGAAACTCACCTTGAGCTGGAGCAGAAAGTATCCCAGTTAAACCAGTAGAAGCCCCAAAAGGAATCCGGGTTAACACATTAAAAAAAAAAACAATTACGGCAAACTCATCCTGCACTTTGAGACTTTCTCCTGCTAATGAAAAATACTGCAATGAAATCGCTGCCCACAAGAAGGAGGGTATAAAAAGCAGAGATCCAGGTTGAATCTGTCCTTAAAGATGTGTATTTTCAGACATTGTAAAAACAAACAGACAAAAACCAACCAAACAAAGAACAAACAAAAAACCCCAACTCAAATGAACAGCCAGTTCCTCTCCTCCGGGGCACCAACCAGACTCTGCTCTGACCAGGCATTGCCACCTGCAGCTCTGCCACGGGAATTCAGGCACCAAAGCACACACACTGCCCTTTGCCCCCCGAGATCCTCACCCTGTGGATCATCTCCCTGTTTTCCAGGCACTCCTGGTACCTTTACAACAAAACCCCTTGGTAATTACCCACAGTCACAGAATCCCAGAATGGTTTTGGTTAGAAAGGACCTTAAAGCCCACCTGGTTCCAAACCCCTGCCATGGGCAGGGACACCTTCCACTAGCCCAGGTTACTCCAAGCCTGAAGAAGAGCTGAAGGACAGGTTTGTCCCAGCAGGACACAAAGGTCCTGCCTCGCCTGGCAGGGATGGGCACCACTCTGGACCTTCTCAGGGCTTCTCCTCCTCCAGGAGAGTCACTCCTGCCTAAAGGCAAGTTTTTCATGCCCACGTGCTCTACTTTCAAACTAGAATCTGCATAATGGAGACAGACAGGTTGGCAGACATATAACATATATATACACCTAAAGAGATAGATAGATAGATATAAAGAAATAGATACATTTATAAGGAGTTTGATATAGAAAAATAGAGATAGATAGATAGATAGATAAATAGATAGAAAGAGATAGAGATATAGATAGATAGAAAGAGTTACAGAAAAAGAGAGAGAGGCACACAAACCACATTGGTACTGTTACATTTCTGACTGACATTTCTCCCAAATGTTTAGAGCAAAGGGCTCAGGGTAAGAATTCAGTCATTTTTTGGGGGGGTACTGAAATACAAAACTAGAGGGTTTGCAACTGCCAGTTGAAGCACTGGGATGACAGATGTGCCTCCACTGCTCCTCCAGAAATAGCAGCTTCAACCCAAGATACCAGCATCCCAGCTTGGAAAAAAACCAGCATGGTGTTTTATTTCTAGAGCATAATCACAATTAGGGTGTCCCTTCTGCAGTCAACTGAAAGAAAAACACTTAAATAATCCTTATTCCTACCCCATAGGACAGGTGAGGTTGGGTACCAGGGTTCAGCAAGAGGTGACAATGGCCAAGGTTTGCCCTCCTGTATTTATATGACATAGCAACAGCCTTTCAAATTCCATTCAGAACTATACAATAGCAGCTTAAATTCAAGTTATAACTGTAAATTATATATTACTTTGTACATTTTTACCTGTAACATCTCTCACTGATATAAGTAGAAAAAGGTATACACTAATAAAGTAGTATATTTTACAGGTTTTTCAAAAAAGCCTGGATTAAACACAAATCTTGGGAAGAAGAGTCAAAAATATGAAACCTAAAAATAGTATAAATATTTATTTTTAAAAAGCACTGAATCAACTTCATTACACAACTTTGGACCTGGCAGACTCACACACTGCACATTTTCCATCGTGTGTGGAGATGTTGGAGGCTGGAAGGCCTCAGGCAGGGCAGAGGCTTTGTCATTCCCTTTGAGACCCCAGATAACAGCTCCTGGCTCCTCAGGATTGCTAATTCACCAGTGCTTCAGATACCATTTTACCAACATCCAGCCTAGTGCCAGTTCAAATCACAAGCTCCCTGAAGATAGTCCAGCCCATAAAACCTGTGAGGTTACAAGTTCTCTTCAGACACTTCATAGAAACACAGAATCATGGAATCAGAGAACATCCTGAGTTGGAAGGGGCACATGAGGATCATTGAGCCCAACTCCTGGCCCTGCACAGGACAGACCAAGCACCCCACCATGTGCCTGAGAGCACACCTTCACATCCTCCTTTCATCTTCATGTTTAGCACCCATGGGACCCAAGGGCAGTGTGTGGGAGACCTTTACAAGATGCAAGAAATTCCCTCTCCCCCAGAGCTGCAGTTTAGATTTTCCTGTCCGAAACAAGCTGGGACAAAACCAGCTGCTGTTTTACTGACAGATCAAAGCCCCCATGAGCTGGCCGCCCTGGCCATGGCCCCTGCCCAGTGTGTCCCCACCCTGGGGTGTCACAGCAGCACTCACACGGCACTCACCGAGGGGCAGGCGGAGGGTGATGTTGTTGCAGAAGTCGGTGTAACAGCACTCGGTCTTGGTGATGTTCTTGGAGCTGTGGCAGAAGACCTGGGCGTTGAGCTCAGGGAGGGACACGCAGGACTTGACCACCTCCTCGCGCCCGTTGGTCAGCATGACCGAGGTCCAGCAGGCGCCCTCCGTCTGGCAGGTGAAGTTGGTGTGTTCACACAGCTGGCACACGCACTGCAGGCCTGCAAAACAGGGGTCAGCAGTTGGGAGAGGCCCCTGGACAGCAGAGCCCCGGGACAGCAGCGCCCCATGGCCCGGCCCCACCGGCTGGCCGAACATGAGCACCCCGGAGGAGCTCCAGCACGGGGCCATGCCAGCACTGATGTCTGCAAATGGGCTCCTGGGCTGCAGGAGGAGGTCAGTCCCAGGAGAGCCCCAGCAGCACAGGTCCCCAACACTCACAAGTGACAAGTTTTTTAATCTTGGCCCCAGGGAATTTTACAGATATCATCTGTCTTGCTTGGTGGAGAAGACTGACCCCCACAAGAAGCAGTTCCTGTGAAAGCTGCCTCTTGCTGAGGTGGAGAGACAGAGGTTTGGGTTTATGTTCTCAGCTCTCACCACTCCAGACAACACCTCGGACAATGCTGAGGACAAAGACAGGGGCACAGGCTCCCTTTGACCTGTGCATTTAGACACAGCCACATTCATTGTGTACCAAGTGTTAAACACTACCAGGCTCCTGGTGAGGAAGCTGTTGCTGACTCCCGGTGACACAGCCCCATCCCAGCCACCTGCCCACACCAGCACCACCCCACCCTGCCAGAGCCAACGGGGTGAGAGCACCAAGCTGGGGGATCACCAAGACACAGCCCCTGGCACCCCACGATGGACACGGGCAGAACAACAGACCCTTCCTCCCCATCCCCCTGAGATGGGGCACCCTGTCCAGGCACCCTTCCTGGGTCAGCTGTAACTCTGCCAGGCTGAGCCCTGCTCTACCTAGGAGAGTAGTTTTATCCATAAACCCATTGCTTCTTTGGGACAGGGGGAGGGGGGATGAAACGAGGGTTTCTTTCATTTCAGCATAACATAGACTTGAAAAGTAAAACATGGGTTAGTGGTGGGCTTGGCAGTGCTGAGGGAATGGTTGGGCTCAATTATCTTCGAGGGCTTTTCCAGCCCAACCCATTCCATGATTGTCTGATCTCAGAATCCCTGGAGGGGCACAGAAGTTCTGACAGACCTCAGCATGACTCTGATTTCTGTTTCTGTGACACTCTGTTTTCTTTACAACAATCTCCATCCTGTGCCACCCTTCTCAAATCACAGCTTGTGGCGTTTATCTTCAGCTTGGGCCCACAACAAACTCCCTTGGCACCATATGTCCATGTTTATCCTGGTGAGGGTGTGGCAGGAGCTGCTGCCTCAGCTCTCCCTTGGCACCAGAATGAGCACCATCTATCACCCCCAGCACAGCAGCTGAATCTCCCTTAAAGACATTACCCTGCTCCTAGAAGAGCTGCCAGGAGCAAGACTCATCAGATTCAAATAAATTAGAGATCTAGCAGGAAGAAAACAGACACATCATCACCAAAACTGCAAAATAAATGCATTATTGAGGAAAGGAGTCTGATATTGTGGCAAGTGTCTTCGAGGATTCAGACACGTCATTACGCTGTTTTTCTCTCCTTCTCACAGCCTAAAAATAAAATAGGAAATTATCTTTATGATGTCATCCACAGTGGATAACTGACAGATTTATCCATATTCTGTATTTTGCAGATTGCTTCAGAGCACACCTGATCAAAAAACTGTTTCTGCATGTCCTGAGCACCTCCAGGGTGGCTCCTCTGAGCCCTGTGAACATGAGAGATGAGGATGGCTGAAGGGCTCTGTATCCTCACCCTGACCAAGCCAACACAGTCACTGCTGGAATGATAAGGCTCTGCATCACTAAATGCTGCCCTCACAGAGGGGAAAAAAACCCAGGAAAACTGCAGCTAAATTTATTCAGAGACAAAACCAGAGTTGGAGTTTTGGGGAAGATGAGATGCTTTCTTCCCAGAAGATTTACACAGATCACTTTAAATATAATTCTACAAAAGTGGAAGCCCCAGGTTCCCCAGATACCTGCCTGTGCTGCTGACTTCTCAGGTAGAAAAATGGATAGAAATACCAAACCACATACAAACCCCTGACAGTGTTTCCAAGAGCATTTGTGTCCTTCCAGAACCCTTTGTTAATAGAGCAGAAAGATTATCTTAAAATATAACTATGAAAGGATGGGTTTCTTGCACCTGTGCTACTTCAGCTGACTCCCCACTGCGGAATCAGAAGAGGAGCCTGGGTCCTTGTGAACATGCCCTTGGGAAGATCCATGCTTTTCCCTTGGGAAGATCCATGCTTTTCCCTTGGGAAGATCCATGCTTTTCCCACTCCCCATCCTGCTGAACAGGGGAGGTGACAAACCCCATCAGCTCTCACCCAGTGTCACACCCCTGCTGTGCCCCACCTGTGGCTCCTCAGACACCCGTGCAACAACTCCAGCTCTGCCAAGCCTGTATCCCCATCCCTGCTGACATGCCAGGGACACAGCACCCGCCAGAATTTGTGCCTTATCTGTGCTGCTCCACCAGGAAAGCATCAGTGCTGCTCCTGGTTATTCATGACAACTTCCTCCACTGGAAAAACTTGCCCATGTATAACCCACCCCTTCCCAAGGACAGTCCTGGCAGTTCCATCAGTGATGCACCACCACAGGAGGAAAGCTGGGACTCCCACCATCCTGGAAACCAGGGAATGGAATAAGGTGACTGTGAAGGAGCTAAAGGAAAAGGGTCAAAGGGGCAGGATGAAAATGTGCTCCTCAAGTTTCAAAATAAGTCACTCTTAATCTGGTAATGAACACAACTCCTTTATTTACTCAAGCACAACAATTCCCTCAAAACATTCCATTCTCTGTTAAGAAATTAGGAGAAAGTGAACGACTGAAACACTCCATGGCTAGAGACCCATGCCAGGCACCTGGCCACCAATGGTCCCAGTTCTCTGAGCATGGAACTCTCCAGCAGTCATAAGAAATTTGTCCTGGCCTTCCCCAAAACCCAGCAACCCCAGTGGGACCCATGGGCAGGTTGTCCCACCAGGACTGGTAGCGGAGCCGAGGCAGGGCCAGGGCAGAGCAGGACAGGACACACCGTGGGCTCCCTTCCACAGGGACAGGAGCTGGGACAGGCTGAAGGACAGAGGTGTGCAGGGCCACATCCCTTCCCATGGGCAGCTGGCACTCCACAGGACCCCACAAACAGCAGGAGAAACCAAGAGCCAGCCAAGGTGGCAGGGAAGGATTCCCACATCAGCAGACACACAAGGAAAGCAATTTTTGGATACAGGGACCCCAGGAACAGGTGTTCCCTGGGGCTGGCATTTTTGAGACATAAGTGGTTTTCAAGGATGGTTTTTCTGCTGTTATTGCCATAGAAGCTGAGACTACACACCAGATTTTTGGATGAGCCCCACTATGAATCAAGGACAGCATGACTTGCTCTTCAGAGCAGAAAATAACCTGCCTGACTTACCTAAAAAGCAACATTTTCTGCCTTTTAATTTTTGGTGCAACTGTCAGAAAACATCCAGGACAGGCAGACACATTGTGCAATGACCTTATAGAGCAGGAAGAGTGGAACCACCCCCCACTTCCCAACAAACCAGCACAAAGGTGCCAACAGAAGATAGTTTTGTGTGCTTCCATCCCTTTTCTATCATGTCAGCTTCAGTTACGTGAACCACTAGATAGCTAAGGAACAAGAATGATCCTACATGTGAAGAGCAGATGGAAGAATAGGATCTTAAACACCAGCTTCATGAAAGCAGCAAGCAATTAAAACATGTGGGCAGACATAGTGCAACCTCAAAGGTTAGCAAAAAAGGGAGCAAAACCAGACCCACTCAAGGTTCTACCAGAAACCTTGTGTGCCAGAACCACACAAGGTTCTACCTTCCAACAGACTTTTTTACTACACAGATTACCAGGGCATTAATATTCCATTAAATCATAATCCAGCACTACCAACCATAACTGAAGTAGAGCATTTAAAAATTAAATCAGAAAGCAAATATCTAAATGGCCCTGTAGCAATTAATTGTCTTTCTGGATGGAGCTTGGAGCAACCTGATCCAGTGAAAGGTGTCCCTGCCCATGGCAGGGGTTTGGAATGAGATGGACTTTAAGCTCCCTTCAAACCCAAACCAGTCTGTGATTCTGTAATGGGAGGAAGGGCTGAATATCTGGAACATTTCCATCCTTGATCATTCTTTACTGTGATTCTATATTGTGCCCTTCTAGATACACTTTCATTTTATTCCCAAATAAGAGATCTGGGAATTAACATGTGTGTGGCCTTTCCACACTGCCTGAGTCCCCTTCCTCAGGTGCAGACCCAGTGCCAGGACACAGCTGCCCCCAGGCCACCTTTGCTGGGCAGGGACCTTCCCACACCTCAGGACACACACCTGGACCTGACTGACCAGACACTTCACTCTTGGGAGGGTTCCAGGTGACAAAAGTTTCACTGTTGAACAAAGGGGCTCAAAGGAGACCCCAAAAACTACAGATTGGATGCTTCCCGTTGTCCAGCCCGTTGCTGGTGATGGAGCCAGGACAAAAACTGGAGCAGGCAGTGGTGAAGGTGCCACAGGGTGGGTGTGGGTCTGGTACAGGCCCCTGTTCTCCAACTGCTGGGAACTGACCACAGGAAACTCTGCTGGCACCAGGTAGAGCCACTCTGATCTCCACCAGAGTGGCCTGTTTGTCCAGCAGCAGCTGAGGGACGAGGCAGAGGGAACCAGCAGCCACGTGGTACCAGGCTGTGGCACAGGAACAGGGGCTGAGTGCTGCTGAGGGAGGGGAAGCAATAAGAAAGCAAAAGGGGTTGCTGAGGATAGAAAAAGTAGGACTGACTTCAGAGCATTGCAAAGCAATCTCACCATGGAATCACAGAATCGTTTGGGTTGGAAAAGCCCTCTGAGACCATCCCCCAGCACTGCCAAGGCCACCAGTAACACATGCCCAAGTGCCACATCTACACAGCTGTTACATCCCTCCAGGAACAGGAACTCCACCACTGCCCAATCCTGAGAGATCAAAAGCCAGAGGAAAGTCAAATCATACAGGAGAACAAAGAACTTCAACTGTACATCAGTAGTGACCAGTCCACTATCATCCCTTCCCCCCGGGAACAGAGGGCTGTGCCTCCCTGAGGAGCACTGGAGAACTCCTCAGCTCACAGAGGAGACACCAGGAAGAGATCCAGACCTGTTCTGCCTTTGGGATCAGTTCCCCTCACCTGCCTCAAAAAGGCACAGGAGAAGTAGAAGGAGTTGCAGGACAGATAGCAAGAGGGACCAGGCATAGATTGAGAATTGCCAAAGGCAATTCTGGAGGTGTGAAGATTCCATAAAAAAACATAGATAATATTTAGGAGATGAATGGAGTCAGCTGCTCACCATTTCCCACTCACTCAAAAGCTCCTGGGCAGCACAGACATCACTGGCAGCACATTTGCAAGGGGCAGGAGGAAGCTCTCCTCACCACCTTCTCCTCACCACCCTCTCCAACACTGCACATGCAACCCCCTGGGATAAAGCACGAGAGCATCCAACAAGTCCTGAACAATCCCACGTGTGCACAGAGGTTTCCAGAACCTGCCACGGTTGATGACAGAAGCAACAGCTTCCACCTGAGAGTCCTGAGCCCCACAGCTGCCCATTGCCTCCCACCCTCCCTCCTCTGGCATCTGTCGAGGTGGCAGTGGTGGCTGGGGGTGACAAAGCCATCCCTGTGCCACCCACACCCCACTCCCATGGGCACAGAGGGAGCCGTCTCCAACAGCCAGCCCCAGACACAGAAGCAACAGTGTGTCCCTGACAAACTTATTCTCTTGTAACACATCTCTTCAGAAGAGGAAAACAGAAAATTGGGCCATGACAGGTCTTAAAAAAGACCAACAAACCTGCTTCTTGGACTACTATGAAAAACATGGAGAAGTTCCCTCTGGAAAGGGCTCTGAAAGAAAATATTAGGAGTAATAACAGATTAAAAGCTTCCTATACAAATATACTGCAAAAAGGGCAGATACCAAACAGGGCAAAAACTAGAAAGCTGTAGAGAAGAGAGGAAAAGTAATTATTCCAGAAGTGAAGAAAATGTCTTGGAATGAGGGATATCACAGAGTTCCAGAAATTTCATTACTTAAAAAAACATCTGGGGAGTGATTTTATTAACATGTGCAAGTATCTTCATTTCAGACAACGAATACTTGGGTGCTCAAACTCCCCACTGTGGAAGAGCTCAGCAGCCCTGGCAAACCCCAGCAGGCAGAAGCTGAGGCCAGGCACTGAAATTAATATTAGCAGGGCAGGGAAAGGGTAACGACACCCAGAGAAATTACTTTTGTTGGAATAAGCTGCCAAAGGACATTTTAAGCCTTGAACAGGTGAGGTACCCTTGGGAAGATTTTGCTCAATGAGACACGAAGGACACAGTAAAGCACTGGGAGTGCAGGGATTTTGTGCAATACAGCACATGCACAGAGCTGAGGAAGAACCTGCTGGTCCCAGTCTGTGAGGGGCTGAGGGTGCAAACTCCATGGGGAAGCAGCTGAGATAACACAGGGCTGACAGCTCTTACTGATTCCAGGTCTGGAATAGTTTGCATAAGAGAGTCCCCAGCACTGAAAGCTCTTAAAGTCACATCTGAGGAGAGTTCGACAAGGAATCTTCCATCCAGACAGTCACCCCGACTCTCCCCTCTGTTGCCACACATCTGCCTGGGCTGTACACACCCCCCACGCCTGAGCCGGGCTGTGGAACAGGGTAAGAAGACCCTGCACTGCACCCCCAGAGAGCAAAGCAATGCAAGATTTTATATAAATACCAATCAAAGGCAATGTGATTCATTGGTGCTCTGGACACTCTGCAGAGGGGAGAGGTGATGGCCACGGCACCGGCAGTGCTCCGGCTAAATTCAAGCACACAGGGGGAAAACAAGGGCTGCACAGGGCTGCCTCTTTCTGGGATTCACTCCCAAACCTGGATACTAAAAATCCACAGAAACAAGAAGAGCTCGATGGAGCAGGTTTTACATCCTGTGAAGGTACCAGAGATTTACCAGATGTGCAACACTACACAGAAGTACTTCACACCCCACCAGCTGAGCTTCGTTCCTTCTCCCTGTCCAAAAGCAGGGATTCTAAAAGCACCTGGATGGGGCAGCGGGCACAGCCCCTCCCTGCAGCTCCGGGGCTGGGACCTCCCCTCTCTGCAAGTGTGTAATGAGCATCACACCAGCGAACTGCTCTGGTGAAATCACAGAGAGAAAGGTAAATTGGAGCAAACCCAAGAGAAAAACTGTAAAATGTTCTGTTGGTACACTGCCTCTGGAACCGCTGTTTGCAAAGCGCTGAGACCGCGCGTTCGGGTTTTAAAGGGACGATTGAGGGGAGGGAGAGTCCCACAGCACCTGCCGCGTGAGGAAGGAACCTGCATCGGAAGGACCCGGACGCCGCATGTTCCTCACCCTGCCCGGAGCCCCCCGAGGGGCCGGGAGCCCCGTCCCGCCCGGGCTGCGGTGGGACGGGATGGGGCACGGGCACCGCACGGCACCGCACAGGGGCCTCTCGCCGGCACCGACGCCGCTCGGTCTGAGAATCTGCCCCCGAGCAGCAGCGCCGCCGGAGCCCCCCGGGGCGGATCCCCGGGATGGCGTGGGAAGCCGCAGGGATCAGGGACTCGGCGCGGGGCCGCTCCGATAAGTCCCCGCTGACCCAGATCTCGGTCGGCGCGGCCGCGTCGAACGCCCCGAGAGCCCGAACCCCCCCGGCCGGCGGCGGGCACGGGGGAGGCACAACGCGGGGTCCCGGCGGACGCGCGTCCCGGTGTCCCGGTGTCCCGGCGTCCCGGTGTCCCGGTGTCCCGGTGTCCCGGACCCGCTCCCGGAGGCGCTGGGGGCCGTACCTGTGCAGAGGGTCACGGCGGCGCCGAGCAGCGGCAGCGCCGCCCGCAGCGCGGGGCCGGGCGGGTCCCGCATGGCCGCGGGAGCCGCGTCCTCCTCCCGCGCCGGAGCCGCTCCGGGCCCGCCGGGACCCGCCGCCCGCGGCTTTAGCGGCTGCAGCGGGGAGGGGCCCGGCCCGGCCCCGCCCGGACCCCCCGCCCCGCTCCGGCCCCCGCACCCCCGGC